CTTTATTTGTCCTTTGATGAAAAATTATACCTTTGCTGAGTAATCTTGTTTGTAGGTCCTTGCTTTTCATCACTTTGAATATCTCTTGCCAATCTCTTTTGACCTGAAAAGTTTCTGTTGAGAAATCTGCTGACAGCCTCATGAGAGCTCCCTTGTAGGTAACTAACTGCTTTTATGCTGGTGCCTTTAAAATTATTTGTCTTTAACCTTTGACATTTTAATTATAATGTGTCTTCTATGGGTCTTTTTGGATTCACCTTGTTTGGGACTCTGTACTTTCTGGACTTACATGTCGATTTCCATCACCATGTCTGGGATGTTTTCCATGGCGTGCGTTCTCCCTTGATGTTGTGATGAATAAATCCAGCTAAGTGGTGGGTCCTAGAGCACAGGGTCAGAATCTGAATCTTAGATTGTGATCTAAGGGTGATCTTTCAGGGGTTTTATAAGTGTAGGGATTTTAAAGTAATTTGTTCTTTGAAAACATTATTCATGCACATACAAGAGAACTCAAAAGACTCTCAAGAGTACACAAAATTGAATAAGTCACATTGTCCCCTTGCCCCCTCAGTCACCTAAGTCCTCTACCTAGAAAGCATTACACTGAGTCACTTCTGATTTCTCCCCCAAGGAAGATATGTCTGTGCATTAATGTTGGTGTTATGGCTATAAAATGAGCTCAGGATACAGAGTGGGAGAAAATGTTCGCAAATCACTTCCAGGGGTGTCTAACCTTTTGTCATCTCTGAGCCACACTGGAAGAAGAGTTTTCTTGGGCCACACATTAAATACATTGCAACACATATTCACCAAAAAAGCCTCATAATGTTTTAAGTAAATTTAGAATTTTGTTTTGGGCCACATTTATAGCCATCCCTGTGGCCTGTGGGTCACAGGTTGGACACCCTTGGACACCCCTGTAAAAATTGTTAAACTCAACAAGAAGAAAAAAAATAACTCAATAAAAATCTATCAAATTGTAAAGAGCCACCTCACCAAAGAATTTATACCAGACCTGGCCAGGTAGTTCAGTTGGTTGGAGCATCATCCCATGCACCAAAAGGTTGTGGTTTGATCTCGGGTCAGGGCAAGTATAAGGGACAGTTGATTGATGTCTCTCTCTCTATCTCTCTATCTCTCTGTCTGATTCTCTCTCTTAAATCAATAAATATAGCCACAGGGGAGGATTAAAAAAAAGCTTGCTGTAGAACCATTTGCTTTATTTCTGCCAAAACAGCCGTCAACACCTCGAATAACACTGCCACCTAGTGAAGGATTAGTAAACAGTGTAATTGAGAATATTATAGACACTGACATCCACAGATTAGATTGTCAACAGCCACTTCCGACAGTTCATGACCCCAGGAGCTCTAGGATCCCTGAGCATCCTCAATAAGGGGTGAAGAGCTGGAGAACAGAAAGCCAACTAGGGGAAGTCTGCACCCACCAGAGATGGGGGCCCTCTCACACAATGACTTTAAAGTAAACATACAAATCAGCACATAAGAAGTGACACAGGTGTCTACCAGCATCAGGATGACGTGGGTGGCTCTAGTCTCTGAAGGGCATTGGTGGTGGCTGCAGGGTTTTGAATTGCTGCAGGCTCAGATGGTGTCTGTGCAGGAGAAGCACCATGGAGATTCTGGGCAAGACCATGAGCACAAAGAACCTGACATCAGGATATGAGCACAGAAGATGGCACCTTGATGCAGGTCTAGAGACTGGGGACAGTGATGGCCATTACTGAGATGGCCCTCTGGAGCAGCCAGCAGTAGGCAGAAAAAGTGTCACATGTTCCTTGGGGAGAAGCTGAGCTGAGAGTCACGTTGTCATTGGGGTGCAGGGACACTCTGCACCAGGAGCTCCACTCACAGCATTTCTCACTTGGCTCTTACCTTCAGGTTCTTCTTCTTCTGTCCCCAGGTCCCTCACAGTGGTCATCCTGTGTGACCCCTGGCTGGTCTTCCTATGCATTCAAGTTCCACAGGGCTTGCTATTCCCAGCCTGAGGTGTGTTGAGTCTGGAAAGTACATCCACTTGAAGCCATTGTGTCCTTGTCAGGGCCTGGGGTCTCCCTCTGTCCATGTGACATAAAGGATGCTGTAATACCTCTGTATCCCTCATAGGGCTCATACTGGAGCCTCCCATTGGACCAGCCTGTCCCCGTGTTCTGGATGCTGACTGTGGGGAGAAGCCTTGCTGGTCATACACTCTGGGATTAGGACAAAGCAATGATGGGGAAATACAGGGAGATAACATTAAAATTGATCACTGCAATATTCAATTGACAGTAAGAAATCTCAATTGATAATCATATCTTAGAAACCAGCTCCACCAGCCAGCTCACTGGCCTGAAATCTTCCTTCTGAGACACCATGGGGAGCAAGGGGAACAGTCCACTGTTTCTCCCTCTCCCTCTGCGGTAGCTGGCGCACTGGACACATGGGCCTGTCACTTTAGGTACAGGGGTCGTTCAAGTTGAGACAGGCAGGTGGGACATCTAGGGCTTTTATATAGTATCCAGCTGTGGACTCCCACAGGGAAATAAAAATGCTCTGCACCTGACCTCTGGTCTCCTTCCGTCCCCACACATGTGACCCCCTCTCCTCTCTTCTTCCCCCACCACTTCCTTCCCCTCTGGTTACCATGGCAGCGCTGGCTGTGACTGTGAGTTCCTTTTTGTTTGTTCTGTCAATTTGTTTGTTGCTTTTTGTTTTATGCTCCACATATGAGTGAAATCACATGATTTTTATCTTTGCTCATCTGACATATTTCCCTTAGCATAATACCCTCTAGGTCCATCCATGCCATCGCAAATGGCAAGATTTCATTCTCTTTTCCTGCCTTGTACTGTTCCACGGGGTGAATGCACCACAGCTTGTTTATGCACTTACCTACTGAAGGGCACCTGGGCTGTGTCCAGAGTTTGGCTACTGTAAATCACGCTGTGATGGACAGAGGGGTGAATATATTCTTTCAAGCAAGTGTTTTGGATCTCTTCAGGTAAATACCCAGAAGTAGGACACCTGGGTCCACAGGCGGTTCCATACTTATTATTTTGAGGGAACTCCACACTGTTTTCCGGAGGGGCTGCACCAGTCTGCATTCCCACCAAGAGTGTGAGAGGGTTCCTTTTTCCCCACATCCTGGCAAGCACTGGTTTGTTGCTTTATTGAAGGTAGATTTTCTGACAGACAGGAACAGATACCTCATTGTGATTTTAATTTGCATGTCTCTTAGAGACACATTGAGCATTTTTTTCAGGACTATTAGCCATCTGTAAGCCATCTGTAAGTCCTCTATTAGCCGTCTGTACGTGTCTGTTCCGGTCCTCTGCCCATTGCTTTTCAATGCTCACCTGAGGACATGTTTGTTGATTTTAGAGAGATAGAAGAAGGGAGAAAGTGAGAGAGAGAGAGAGACAGAAAGGGAGATACTGACATGAGAGAAATACATGAATCTGTTGCCTCTCGTTCAAGCCCCCAGGAGGAATAGAACCCTCAGCCCTTTGGTGGACTGGAGGAGGCTCCAACCCACTGAGCCTCTGGGCCAGGGCTGCCCATTTTAAAGGGAGATTGTTTCATCTGCCCCTTCACTGTGCGCGTCTGTGTGTCTTTGGATGTGAGTTGGGTCTCCTACAGGCAGCATAATTGGGTTCTGCTCTAACTTATTCATCTTCTCTGTGCCTTTTGGTTTGTGAGTTCGACCCGTGTCCATTTAGGTGATTATTGACCTACAAGGACTCTCTTTACTCATTTTACCTTTGGTTTCTCGTCTTGTGTCTCCAGTGTTTACTTTCCCTACGTTCCCCGTCTGTCAGTTCATTGTGGCACCTCTCTGTGCTTCCAGGACCCGTGGCCACCAGCCCTGCTGTACTACCTGGGCGTCCTTGCACCTGTCCAAGGTTTTAGCCACTCTATGGCCTGAAGGTCACATCTACTCTCCCACCCTCTGCCAGCTGGAGGTGGCGTTACAGCCAGATTGGGAGGGGACCATTGCGAATTCCTCTGGGCTCCTTCTTCTGCTGGTTCTGATACCTGGGTTTCAGAGACCAGGTCCTGCGGGGAGCTTCGGAGTGTCTGACTTGTCTCTTTGAGAGGGGTTCTCACTGCACCAGGATGCTGACGTCCCACCCTGTATCTGCCATTGCCCACATCGGCCCATGTGCTGCACCTGCAGCCCCATCCAACCCTCTCTCTCAAGAATCTGCCAGTTTTATTCCAAGGACAACCTGTCTGATGGTAGCTAAGCAACACAACCCTGCTGTGATGAAGGGGAAGGAACCAGGGACAAAGGCCCAGGGGTGACTGTGGCAGAGTCTCCCCTCTGGCACCTGCCAAACTTTCTCTTTGACTGTTCAGTTCTCATCACTCGAAGCTGAAAGCTAATGAAGCCTCCCTAACTCCAAACATTATAAATGAGCATAAGGATTCTTTTTGAGCTCATGAACCTCCTGTGTCCAGCTGCTCCTGAAGTCCTCCTGCTTTCCTCTAGGGTCTCAGAACATTCTGTGTGCACTTGAAACAAATGTGTTTTTCAGTTGCTGAGGAAATGGCACACACACACATCTCCTGTTGTTGAGAGAGAGAAAACTCAGTCAGGTTGCCTTCCTTATGTTCCTTAGGCACAAGCCCTGACTGGGAATCAAACCTGTGGTATTTTGGTGCATGGGCAGACACTGCAGTCAACCCAGCCACCCTGGCCAGGCCACATCCCTGTTTGATCTGTTTCTATAGGTCTGGTTTCTTATCGCAGAGAAAATCATTCAGTCTGTTGGCTCATATCCTTACTTTTATTTTGTCTACAACCTCCCTGATACATGCAGTTGATCTTTTAGTAAATGAAAAGGAAAACATTTGGCAATTGATGTGAATGCTCAAAACATACTTATTGGACAATTATGAAGGAAGCCCCCCACCAAACAACCATAACAGGAGTTAATATGGGAAGTGGAAGTTCCCCATAATTTGTTTTTGGGATTCACAGCTGTCCCATGTTTTTCAGGGTGCTGGGTCAGCAGCGGAGGGGCTGGTGTCCATGGCTGTGGGCACGCAGGGTGTATCTTTACCTGCTGTGCTCAGAGCCCCATATCCTTGCTCAGCTGCCCTGGACACGCTGGGGCTGAATCCGAGACAGAGCGTCATGAAGCTCCCACCGTCCTTCGCCGGAGTCCCAGGAGCGAAAAACGGACGGAGGGGCTCTGCCATAGAAATTGGGGGGAACGTAAAAATGTGGGTGCTATCGCCCACGTGATAAAAGGAAATGGTCCCCATTTCGAAGTCCAGGAAAACGCCCACGCGGTTTAAGCCGGGGCTGACCATGAGAACTGTCAGCGGCCTCGTGCTGGCCAGGAACCTTTCTTTCTCCCTGCAGCTCACGGTCCAGAATCCACGTTCTGAAGAAAGGTCGACTTCCTCGTGCCGAGGAACAGACTCCTTGCAGACGCCCAGGTTCCACTCTGTGCTGGTGCCCACGTCCACCTCCCAGTAGTGCCGGCCAGACCTGAGCCGCGGAGAGCCCAATACACAGAAAGAGGCGCTGAACCTCTCAGGACAGACCCTGCGCTTCTGCTCCTCGTACATGCAGCGGACTCGCCGCCGGTCCTCGGAGATGTAGAGGAACTTGTTGGCCGTGTCCACATCCAAGGTCACGTCCACTGTAGAAGAGAAATCATCCTTCAGCTCTGTCCCCACCCCTCGGGCCCACCTCAGGGGTCCACGTGACTCATCCACTTTCTCGTTTTCATCTCCACACCTCGGGTTTTCCTGGGGGAACTTCCCGGGTTCCCGATTACATCAGATTTCATGGACACAAGGAACTGTCATCATTGGAACTGGCCCTTGGTCATGACAGAAGTTCTTTCTACATTAAGCTCTTTGCTTAGTTGATGAAGGAGGTTTCTTCTCTTCAGTGTGGACCCCACATGGAAAAAGAGACCGTGACTGCTGCATGTTTTCAAAATTAGCATACAGATTATCACAGACTGTGTCCACACATACACCTGAACTAGGCATTTCAAAGGATGGAGAATATTCTACTTACTGCAGAGTAAAATTGATCAAAGCTTTCTGTTTCCTCTCTCTCTCTAAATTATATTAAGATTATATATGCACATACATATATTTATATGTTAATATATAAATATGTAAATCTGTACATATATTTGTAAATATATGTATTTATATGTATTTTTTTCTAAGAGTCCTGACATTAGGGCGGATTGACATCTTAGTAGGAACGTGGACCGCAGCTCCAGGGGGCCGCACCGGGAGGGCACAAACGCGGAGCACAGGACCCTGTGCAGCAGCTCCGCCGCCCTCCGACTCTGATTCGGGCGCAGAGCTGCGCGTCTAAGGTGATCCCTGGATGGGGTTGGTGCAGCCTCAGAAAGAAACCTTCTGGAATAAAGACTCCTCGCTCCCTGTTTTGTTCCTTTATCTCTTTTTTCCGTTTTTAATTTAATTTTTATTTTTTATCCTTCCCTGAGGATATGTTTGTAATGATTTTGCACAGGGAGGAAAGGAAGGAGGTGTTGGGAAGGAGAGAGACATCCATTGGTTGCCTCACGTGCGCCCCCTGGTGGGAATTGAACCTGCAACCTTGTGGTGTCCAGGAACCACTTTAACCAACTGAGCCACCTCCAGGGCTTTTTAATTTTTAAAACATTTTTTTAAGTTTCAGTTACAGTTGGTGTACAATAGAAAACAATATTAAATGCAACTAGAGTTGAAAACATTAAAAATAATTGATGTTTGCCCGATGGGAGGGGTTTGGGGCATGAGGTAAAACAGGGCAAGGGATTGGGAAGTACAGATGGGCAGTGACAGAACAGGCCCAGGGTGGTAGTGGGAAGCACAGGGAATACAGTCAGTAATACTGGGGCGATGTGCATGGTGCCAGGTGGGGACTAGGCTGATCATGGGGAATCACTTCTGGAGGTACATGAGTATCTAATTACTATGCTGTAATTTTAAACTACTGTAATGCTGTGTGGCAACTGTAATTCAGTAATCAAATTCAAACATATTTAAAAATGAAAATGGTTTACAAACACATTAAAAATAGTTAAGAATGAAAAAGGATGGACTTCGGGGGTACAGTCTATGTAAAACCCAGCCTCAGATTTCTACTTAATCAATCAAATTTCCACTCCCTCAACCTCCAGTTCCAAGTGACCACCAGCTACCTGTGTGGCTACCAAAAATACAGGATAGGACAGGTTAAGAGCATGACTACGTACTTTTTCTTTTCTTTTTAAAAAATTTCTTCTTTTTTTTGTTTTTAGAGAGAGGAGAAGGGATGGAGAGAGGGAGAGAAACATCAATGTGTGTTTGCCTCTCCCGGGTTCCCTACTGGGAACCTGGCCCATACTCCAGGAATGTGCTCTGACTGGGAATAGAACTGCCCAACTTTTGGTTCCTAAGGCTGGCACTCAGTCCACTGAGTCACACCAGGCAGGGCTAAATCTTATGTTTTCTTGAATACCTACAGATGGCTCTGACTGTGGGGCTTGGTTGAGAGATGTTCTGCCAAGAACAGAAAACTGGTTTTATTCCTGGTTAGGACACGGGGGTGATTGTAGATTGGGTTCTGGGTCGGTCCCTTTAACAGAGGCAATCCATAAATTTTTCTCTCTTATATCAGTGTTTCTGACCATCTCTCACTTCCTTCCCCCTCTCTTCAAATAAATAAATAAAATCTTTAAAAAACAAAGAAAACCTACAGATGGTTTTAATGCAGACTTCCAGGTTGGCACATTGGGAAAGAATGAACATTTCAGGTGCCAGAACCCAGGTAAAGCACTTTGACTGGAGAGCTTTGACAAGTGGCTGTTTCCCATGGGGTGGGGGCTGGTGGCCCCAGACCTCACCTTGGAACCTCCGTATCCTCGGGTTCATCCTCAGGATGGCTCTCAGCTGGGGCTCCAGCACTCTGACCTCTGACACCAGCCTGGCCAGCTGACTTTTGGGCCTGATGTCACTCTTCTGAGAAACCTCGGAGCAAGTGAGGCACATAATCCCTTGTCCTCCGGGGTCCCTCGACAGTGAGTCGACACACTTGAGGCAGCAAATGAACCCACATTTCAAGCTCACAGGGTTTGCCATGTAGGTCAGACAGATGTAGCAACTGCTTGTGTCTTTAAAGTGCTGGGCCATAGCCACTGTCTGGGGGAAGGGACAGGCGGTTAGAACACAGTGAGTGACAAAGACTGATGGGTCCTGGGACTCCACTGTTTCTATGAATAGGGATCTGTACTCACCAGTCCCAGGCAATCAAGATGCAATCCAAGTACAAACATCAATAGTTCATGGCCCAGAATTTTTGATATTAAAATGCTAGTTAGCATGAAGAGAAGATTCATCCTGGGTCTGTAAGTTAGGGGGTGAGATGGTCTCTACTCTACTTGTGAATTTTTTTTTCAATCCTCAGCCAAGGACAGGTTTTTATTGGTTTTGGAAGAGACAGGAAGTGGAGGGATGGAGAGAGGAAGAAAGAGAGAGAGATCAGTTGCTGCTTGTACACACCCTGAGTGGAGCTCAATACTCAACATTCCGTAATACAGCATGACGACCAAACCAATGGAGCCACCTGGCCAGGGCTACCTGAATGTCTCCTGTGCCAGCCTGTAGCCTGGAGTGGCTATTGAGCTATTCGGATAGGGCTTATCCACATTGAACAGTATTGAACATAAGATATACTCTGTAATTTGAGGACATCACAGGACAGGAGAATATAAGTCACCTCCCAAAGAACTTCTAAAATTGATGGGATGTTGAAATGACTGCTCTTTGCCAGGTATAATGAAAGGCTTGTTTTTTTGCTTTCTTTTTTATTTTGTATATATGTCTTGTAGAAAATGAGGTTAGCCCCGGCTGGGAGCTCACTTGGTTAGAGCATTGTCCCGATACCCCAAAGTTGCAGGTTCAGTCCCAGGTCAGGGCTCACACAAGAAACAACCAGTGAATTCATAAAGGAGTTCACAACAAATCCATGCTTCTTTCTCACTCACATTGATAAGTTAAAAAAAAAAACTTGAAAAAAACCCTCGGTAACAATGACACTTCTGTGTGACTTCATATATCCAGTGGACAGTGCTGGTTGAGACTCAGAAATCCTACCACTGCCTCAGCTGAGTGTGGCTGAGACCCAGAGGAAAAGCTGAGAGGTGGAGTAAGTCAGTGGCTGACACTCCACTCACCACCTGGCAGGGTCCACCCATCTCGGATCTGACTCAGCATAAAGACGACCATGTTATTTCTTTCTTTTTTTTTTTTTAAGATTTTATTTATTTATTTTAGAGAGGGAAGGGAGGGAGAGAGAGAGAGAGACAGAGGAACTTAAATGTGCGGTTGCAGGGGGTTATGGCCTGCAACCCAGGCATGTACCCTGCCTGGGAATCGAACCTGGGACACTTTGGTTCCCAGCCCGAGCTCAATCCACTGAGCTACTCCAGCCAGGATGACCATGTTATTTCTGCCACCTGGTGTTAAACATCTAAGTTCTGCCCACTCTTCCCATCAAAGACAATTCATCCCTAGGTGTCCACCCCATGCCTGGCACTGAGCTGGCCTCAGTCAGCACTTGCTGAACCTTTTGTAGAAACAGGAAAGTCAAAACCATGGACTCACCTCTGGTGCACTAGGTCCTTTTCTGGTCTCCAACTGCTTCCCTTGTTGGCCCAGCTCTGGAGTGAGGTGGACCAGCAAGCCTCTTTTATCAGGCAGGCCCCTCCTCCCACCACACTCACTTCCTGTTTGTCCCACCCAATCCAATCAGATTTCCACCCAGGTAATGAGATTTTCTCACTCCACAGAGAGAACTTACCAGGAACAAAGGACATAGTTGTGTATGAAAGCTATTTTTAAGTGAACGTGAACAAAATACTGCTATGAAATCATTGTAGATTAAATCCTGGATATCATTTCTGGTCCTCTCTTGGGAAATGAATATCAAAAATGACAAAATTTTCTCTCAATCATAAAATGGGATCCTTTGGAATGTTGGTGACCGATTTGCCTAAAAATGTTTGGAATCACTGGATTGTGGATGGTAGTAGAATCACCTGAGAATCACCAGGACTCCTACTACCTTGTTGTTTTATTTTTTTATTTTTTTAACTACTTGTATTGTTTAAAGTTTGTTTCGGGTGTCTCATTTCCCGCTTTTGTTCACTTCACCACTGAGCTCAACTCCCTGCCCCCTGGGCGTCAGCACACAATTGTCCCTGTCTCTGGGATAATCCCTCTACCTTATTCCATCCCCTCCCCTCCTCCCCTCTTCCAGCTGTCAGTCTGTTCCGTGTGTCCATGCCTCTGTCCATTTCAGGGTGTCAAACTCATTTCCCCCAGGGATACATCAGCCTCCTGGTTGCCTTTAAAGGGCCGAATGCTATTTTAGGTCTGTATAGATGTAACTACTCCTTAACTACGGGCAAGGATCTCCACGCTGACTCCAGGTAGAAAAAAGGTGCTGAGCTGGATGAGACAAGGTGGAGCGCTGGATTTGGCCCCAGGGGCTTGTGTTTGGTGCCTGAGGTCTATTTTGTTTATTAGATTCCACAGATAAGTGAGATCAGATGGTGTCTGTAGCCCTGAACTGACCCTTTCAACCTCTTTTGTGCCCTGACTGGTGGGGCTCAGTTGGTTTGGTGTCATCCCGCAAAGCAAAAGGATGCTGGTTGGATCCCTGGTCACAGAGAGAGGCAACTGATGGACGTGTCTCTCTCATATCAATGTTTCTCTCCTTTTCTCCCTCCCTTCCCCTCTCTCTGAAAAATAAAAACAGAAACATAAATGTCCCCTCTTTTGTTATGTACTTATTGTTTTAAGAATGTTATGTTTATTTTATTTTATTAATTTTTAAAAATGTATTTTATTGACTATGCTATTAGAGTTGTCCCATTTTTTCTCCCCTTATTCCCTTCCACCCTGTACCTGCCCCACCATCATTCCCCTACCTTAGTTCATGTCCATGGGTCACATATAGAAATTCTTTGGCTTTTCCATTTCCTGTACTATTCTTAACCTCCCCCTGTCTATTTTGTACCTACCATTTATGCTTCTTATTCCCTGTGCCTTTTCCCCCATTTTTCCCCAATCCCCTCCCCACCGATAACCTTCCATGTGATCTCCATTTCTGTCATTCTGTTCCTGTTCTAGTTGTTTGCTTAGTTTGTTTTTGTTTTTAGGTTCAATTATTGATAGTTGTGAATTTCTTATCATTTTACTGTTCATATTTTTGATCATCTTCTTTTTCTTCAACTAGTCTTTTTAACATTTCATGTAATAAGGGCTTGGTGATGATGAACTCCTTTAAGTTGACCTTATCTGGGAAGCACTTTGTCTGCTCTTCCATCCTAAATGGTAGCTTTGCTGGATAGAGTCATCTTGGATTTAGGTCCTTGCTTTCTATGACTTCCAATACTTCTTTTCAGCCCCTCCTTGCCTGCAAGGTTTTTTTCTGGACAGATCATCTGATCGTCTTATGGGAGCTTCTTTGTAGGTAACAGTCTGGTTTCTCTAGTGGTATTTAAGATGATCTCCTTATCTTTAATCTGGGTAATGTAATTATGCTGTGCCTTGGTCAGGGCTTCTTTGGGTCCTGTGTCTTTGAGACTCTCTGAGGTTCCTGGACTTCCTGAAAGTCCATCTCCTTTGCCAGATTAGGGAAGTCATCCTTCATTATGTTTCTAAATAAGTTTTCAGTTCTTTCTCTTCCTTTTCTCCTTCTGGCACCATTATTCATTGGATGTTGGGGTGGTTAAAGTTGTCCCAGAGGTTCCTAAGCCTGTCCTCATTTTTTGAATTCTTGTTTCTTTATTCTGCTTCATGGTTGAATTTTTATGTCTTCCTTCTGCTGCAAATGATTGATTTCATTCCTTATTTTCTTCTCTTCATTAGTGGTTCCCTGCACACCTTCCTTTATTTCACTTTCATAACCTTCAGTTCTTCCTCTATTTTGCAACCATACTCAATCATTTCTGTGAGCATCCTGATTATCAGTGCTTTGAACTGTGCATCTGATAGGTTGGCTATCTCTTCATTGCTTAGTTCTATTTTCAGAGTTTGATCTTTTCATTCCTTTGGGCCATATATTTTCATCTGGCTCACTTGTTACATAGTAAATGGTGGAGCCTTGGGTACTTGCTAGGGCAGGGAACCCTGTCATTGTGTTGTGGCCCTGCATGTGGGGGAGGGGTCCGAGAGAGAGCAGTGCCATTTGCTCAGCTCTCGCCCCACGTTCAGTCACTTCCCCTGCTTCCCATAAGCAAATTGGGCCCTTCTGGTGCTGATTCCCAGGTTGAGGGGCGTTGTGTACATTCTGTGACCCCATCAGTCTCCCCTGAGAACTCTCCTGTGAGGCTGGGAGTTTCTCCCACCATTACCACAACCCTCATAGGTTTTAGAGTCAGAGGTTTTGAGGCTTTATTTCCCCACACTGGAATCCTGGGTTGCTCGGTCTGTCTGGCTCCCCAGTCATTCCTCCTGCTTTATTCACATGCAAATGTGGGACTCCGGCTCCGCCAGTCCCCGCCCTACAGGGTCTGCTTGCAGCTTCCTCTCCCTATTAGGTCCTTTAGCCCCCCGCCTTGCAGTGAGTTCTCTCTTCCAGGCTGTCTATATCTGCCCCTCATTAAGGTCTGGATGAATGTTTCTTCTTTAACTCCTTGGTTGTTGGGATTCCATAGAGTTTGGTTTTCTTGCAGTTCTGGTTATTTTTTGTTTTTAAATTTGTTGTTTTCCTTCTTTTGGTTGTGGGAGGAGGCAAACTGTATCTACCTCTGCCTCCATCTTGGCCAGATGACTCTATTCTCCATTAGCTGATTCTTTTTTTAAACGCTTTTTTTTAAAATTGATTTTAGAGAAAGGCAGAGGGAGAGAGAGAAAGAGATTTGTTGTTCCACTCATTTACATTCACTGGTTGATTCTTGTACATGCCCTGACCTGGGATCAAATCTCAAACCTTGGCGTATGGGGACGACACTCTAAACAATTGAACTTCCCAGCCAGGGCCTAACGCATTTTTAATAAAAGGATCTTAGTGTTTCTTTCTTTTCTTTTTTTATAGCAGTCACACCATATTATAGGAGTGTTAGGTGTATAGCAGTGATTAGATATTTATATAATTTACAAAGAGATTCCCCCCATTAGGTCTA